TGCAGACAAGAACTTCAATGAAATTTTAATTTAAAAGGAAATAGTTGGAAAATCTAATATTTTTTACGCCATTTTCACGTAAGCAGATAAGTGAGAAATCTTATCAGTAGCGCTCCACTAACTGCTGAACTAAAAACTGGCATCACGAATTTATCAAAAAAATGTTGGATGCTGGGACAGAAGATGCCCCAGAAAAATATCACATTTGCTTTTGCAGTCTACATAAAAAATATTCAGCGTTGTAATAAGAAGTAGGTTCTGATTCATAAAACAATACGGACATCTGCAAAGGAATATTATAAAAGCATTCTTCCAGTCTTAGGACACAGTACAAATAATAGAAGTGAATAGACTTTGAATCAGAGTATCCGTGCTAAATTTCCTGTGTCTCCTATTTCAGAATAAAGCATCATCTGCTTTATTTTTTCCGTGACCTCAGAATTAAGCAAGGTACTTCAGTCTCAATTCTAAAATTGTTGAAATTATACGAGTATTTACACAGACACGAACACTAAAGTTTTGAATTCCGAACCATCCCTTAACATGAATAATCGGGGTTTCATTCTTATACATAGAAAGCCGAGATAATAAAAAGAATAAACGAGGAGAATACACATGTCCACAGAGAGCGATTTGCATAATAGAAAAATATGAAGATAAAGAGTTTATTTATATATTCAACTAGATGCTTGTAATTGCTCTTCCTTCTGCAATAGCAATCTACATGGCATAACATATGGATAAAGAGAGAACTAGAAAAGGGATTACTTTCTTCAGTTTAGGCCCTGTTCAATACCCTTCAACATAAACACAACCAGTAGACCTTATTGGTGACTGTGCTTAAAAGAGTTCTGCTGGATGATGCTGTTACAATGCATATGTTAATCTAACTAGTTATTATGATTTAGATCTTTACAGTCTATTCTCCTCTTCATTTCTCTAACAAACTACAAATCAGGTTAAGAGTATTTAAGCTGAGGTTTCTCTGATTGTAAAACAGATAATGTTTCTACCTCTCGAGGACACGTTACTAGGTTTCTGTCAGCTCAGACAACAACTGTAGTCTTCGGATTTGCGTTATAGTTTCCAGCATTTAAATTGTTACGCCGGTTAGAAGTTCGAGTCAACTTCGCGTTAAATAAATTGCGCAACCTTTGCCCACTAGACTTAGTTTCAAATCTTGAAACTGATAATTGCTTTAAGTTACATCGTCACAAATGGTTGGCTGATTTTGTCAAGCACGAGACTTGCATTTATGTTCCAGTTCCGATTTAATTAAAAAATTTGTTAAATCCTTTTACTACTTTACTGGTCTTTTCAGACACAGCGATAATTTGCTCTCTGTTTCCACAGAGCTTGGATTTAGTTTATGCCACCAATGATCACCAAACTCTATAACTTGATTAAAGAACATGACGTTGACGTTTTAAGAATGGATAATCTGGAAAAATACAAATTAGTATTGTCTATGGCTCTAAACTTAGCTAGCCTTCCTTCTAATTGTGGAAAACCAAAGAATTTATTGTCTGCTTGCGTGTTGTAAAGAAATAATTCAAACATCAAAAGCTTTCTATAACTATCAACTATGTTATTAAAGCAGAACCTTCAAGCAGTAATTTTTGCCAACAATAGTGAAAACTTCCTAGAAGCAATTCATCACTAAAAAATTTAATGAATATAGTGTCTTCAGGAAATACAGTCCAAATAATGGAAACCAACCTGTTAGAAAATTAAAATAATCACGAGCAGATACAAAAAATCGTTCAAAGTAACAGAAAATTTCATAATCTCAGGTTCGAAAGAAATTTTAAAGTTCGGACTAAATCTAAAGCACTTAGTTTTAGCTCACTATTTACCTACTTAAATAAACCTATGCTTTCAACAAATCCAATAGCGCTTCAACCAATAAAAGTCAACAAAACAAACAAAAGCTTTTTTTTTTTTTTTTTTTTTTTTTTTTTGTAGAAGCAAGTATTACAAATGAAGCTAAGCTTGAACATGACGCAAAGAGTTGTACTGTGTGCAATATGTCGCTAATGGAAACTGACAAACTGAAAATAACTACAACAAAATGTTGTTGTAAAAGATACACGAAACTTGTTTAAATGTGAACATGTGATTATTTGATTATGATAATGAATCTTTTTATGTAATTATGAAACACAGATTTATTCGTTAGAAAGAGTATACAAATTAAGAGAGTACAAGGTTCTTATATTAATTAACCAGTTATAATCATTTTAATCTGTGTTAAAACTCCTTTCCGTATTACTCACAAGAATGTATGTTAGTTTTAGTATATAAAAGATAAGGGTTTTGGATCTTAGAGAAATAGAGTTTCTGGCCTTAACGCTGCACTGTTAGAATTTCGCCAGCTCTATTTAAAAGTGATCATTCCGGCTTTTGCATTCTCTAGCAGCCAATACTTTATTATTACTAGCCTATAAAGTTAACTGACCCAACTTGTAGCTTATATTGATAATTAAAAAGGTTCAGATTTATTAAAAATTAAAATTAAAAATATAATAAAAAATTTTCAAATTAAGTTCAGATTAATACCCACAATAACGTTTTAATCATAAGCACAGTACTTGAAAATAATGTTATCACTTGAATAAAACTCTTTTAGTTTCGAATACGGATTGAGAGGAGCAAATCTGCTTCTTCACGAATGAAAATAGTTTGTTTTTTAAAGTATATTTCGTTTCTCGTCTTTCTCTAGCATTTGTGTAGCAGATTCCCATGCTACAGAGACATACGTGATATATTCCAGAATCTCTTCTCTGAACATCAAGGGCACTAAAAGACTTCTGGATGGGGAGCTCTCTACATACGCTATAGCTGTTACACTCAGATTGTAAGTTTTCTGCTTAATCCACATAGGCCCGACCACTAAGGAATTGGTTAAAACACTGCAAGATATTGATAGTTCGTTCCGGATTTGAGCCCAGTTTATATCTTTTTTCAAGGGCCTACAGGAAAAGGTAAAAAATTAATACCTGAGATTACGAGTTGCCAAAACAGCCATAATTTAAAAAGGAAAGCACTAAAACGTAGGATTGGGTCTTAAACTCAACTATCTTGAAATACCGTTTTTGAATGAAGTTGATAAATAATATTTAACTTTCATTGTTCTGAGAAACGCATAGTAGTCTGGAAACAGAAATTATTTTTATCGTAATAAAATTCTGTTTCCAATCATGTTCCTGGATTTTAGTTATTGCAAAATGTTTATCTTTATCTATGTCTAATTATAATTACCATAATTTCTTATACACTTAAGCTGGCTGGATTTTTCTTTTTCATGGTTTTATTCCACGTGTTAAAGAGTATACGAGCCAGTTTCTCTAAGAATGTCCTTCACAGCCCTCGTGTGCTTTTCCATATTAAAATTACCTAACCCAACCTGAACTATGAATTTCAAGACTCGATGAGAATTAAATTAAATCTGGATTTTTCACGTTCCTTCAAAGCTCAATCCTTACAACAATGTTAGAAGACGTTTGAAAAATGCTGAATTATATGGATTCTAGTTAGATCTATCTCGTAATGTTTGGTTGCTAACTTCTAAAATTCTTGTAGGGAATGGGATAGCTTCTTTTTTGCTCGTGTAAACTTTGACTTTTACCCCATAGCTCCTTTTTACCTTTTTCGATTCAATTGTTAGATGTCTGGACAACTTACAGTCTTCACTAAGCATTTCATTCGAAATGTTTGATACCGAAGCGTCTGGAAACTTTGCACCTAGTTATTTGATGATTATAATTGCTGTCGAGCAATTAATGCAAGATAGCACACCTGCTAACAGTTCTTAGACAATATTGTAAAAGGTGGAATTTAGAAACTTCTATGTAACTGAATTAACTCCAAAGACTGAAAATGAGGGTCTAGAGAATAAAAGTGCTGTGGAAACGTCAATGGCTCTACTTCAAAATATTGGATTATTCGAATTTTCAGGAAATTTCAAGCGCTGCATATTTGAGCCACATTATACTCCCACTGAATAATGAACAATAACTTTCCTCAAGAAGATGTACATAAAATGGGATAAATCTTTTCACATTACAGCAGTTTACAGATTTTCATTTGTGACATATTTCTATACATAATGTTATGCAACAGAGAGTAAAACTAAACTGTTTGGGGTACTTACGTATTAACGCAACCAGGCCAAAATTCGCATAAATTGCCAAATTTGGCGACCCTACTTACGGCAACCCTACGTGTTATACCTAGTTTTGTAAAAAAGAGCATGTGGAGATTCACAAAAATTTTCCTGCATTTTCGTGCAAATTTTTGTAATTTATGAGAAAATAGCTGTGTAGATGGATAAAGTCAAGAGTGTGCGCAATGCCATTTTTGTGCAATTCTGGGATGTTTTTTTAAGTAAAAATAAGTCGATGTGTACATGGTTATGGCGAATACGGTTTTCAATCAGTGCTAAAAGCAATAGCCAAAAGATTTCCGCCGAAAAAATAATTTTGCAACTTATTCAAATTCAAAACCGGAAGGGTTTAATTGCTATTTTATATTTTAAAACAAAGTAATATAAAAACTGTATTAAAAATTATCTGTAATTAATAAATGTACATTTTCTTTGTATTCATACTTTTTTACTCAAACTTACAAATCGCGCCAACCTGGTTGCGATAATACATAAGTACCCTGTTTGGTTTAGCTGCGCGAATAATATAAGAGGATATTTATGCTACTCTGTCTACTTTAAGGTTTACAATCTATAAACTGTATATTATTGGTTTTGCTGAAACTTTGAAACACTAGTTCATTCGACAAGATTCGACAATCTTTGGCACTAAATTGGGCTTTTTCTTTAGGGCATAATTAATAATCTCTTGCTTTGTATTTTGAGCAGCTGCAAGTAATAATTTTTCCCAATGACTACTTTTAAAATTAGCTTACAAAAATCATATATAATATTAATTTTATACATAGTATTAATTTTAACCGTATAATGACGTATTTTCTTATTTCTTTTTCAGAAAACTAGCTCGTCGGATACAGAGGAAGAAGATAAAGATGACCGGCCAAAAACCATAACTAATACATGGGTTGCAAAAGACAAAACAGAAAAAATTACTTACGTAAATTCTGCGAATACTGTATTTACATCACAGACTGTACAAAACAAAGAATGTACTGAGTGCTTAAACAATCGTTTGTTGGGCCACAAAATTGATGTTTTTTGCAGAAAATTATTTCCTGGTTTATTCTTATTATTCGCGATTATATACTGGATTTATTACTTAACAATATATAACAGTAATTCTTAAATATTTTTAAACATAGTTTTTTTTTTTTTTTTTTTTTTTTTTTTTTTTTTGAGTAAGAAAATTTTTAATGAAAACCAAAGTATATCGGTATTTTTACTGTCTCAGAAGGTTAATTTGAAAACAAAATGTTCAATATTTTGAGAAACCGAAAATGTGTATTTTTAAAGCATTGCAAAACTTGTAAATCGAAAAACAGATAGAATAATCTTTTTTTGTCAGTCAGATTTTAGTTTAGATTATTTTCTACTCATCTGAACACAGGCCTAGCGAAAGTTAAATAACTACTAATCGAGATTACTAGTTCTTCAGACAGCCACTGTGAACTGGTACAAGGAAACCGCAACAACTGTCGGCGTGAGCCTTAAAATCAGCTACCCTAGAGCACCGTTACTGAGACAAGAAATAGTTAAATAATATTTAACTTTCATTGCTACGAGAAGCAAATAGTTGTTAATAAGCAGAAGTCATTTTTAATATAAAGAAATTACTATGTTCTCAAGACTGAATTCTAGTCGTAGCAAGATGTTTATCTTCATCTGTATATAGCCATAATTACCATAATTTCTTGGATACAATTTGGCTCAATAAAAGTTTTTATTATGTTAAGACGTGTATTATTATTTACTATAAGATACATTGGCATTATCAGCTGCAATAATTCGCCTACCTCTGCCACAGAGAATTCTAAACCAAAACACATAAAGTTAACTCCATAAATCTAACACAAAAAGGAATCTGATACGCTTAACGAATCTGGATACTAAAATATTTTTCGACATTTTTCACAACTTAAAATTGTTATAATTTTTTTATATTGCAATTAACACCTATATGATAAATACACTGAAAGGCCAAAAGATTTGATACAATATCTGATAATAGATAGGTAATCCTTAAGCCCTCAGCAGCGAACCACTGTTCGAGGTATGCGTTCAAGGAATTCCCAATTCCTACGCACAGACATCGTCATCCATAAATTAAAAAAAAAAAACATGGAATGTAGACTGTGATACTGAAATACTTGGATAGATCGGATGTGATACTGAAAAATACTAAATTCATAAATCGTTGAGTTTCTTTCCTATCTACGCCACAAAAGCTCAAAAGGAGCTCCTGTGAGTATTCAATGAAGATTAAATTACAGTGCTAAAATGACCAGAATGTTCGATCTGCCATATGACAACGAAAAACTGGTTATAAAATAACTAACTTAGAAATTTAAAGTCGATCTAAAAACTAGCAGCAAAATCTAGCCAAAATCCTGTCCCGTTAAAATTTAGCACACTAGGTAAAAAAGCAGTGCGGAAAGCCATTTGGCCAAAAAATAAGGCAAAACTGTCCATTGAGGGAAGGGAGGATCTATTGGTATCCCCAAAAATGTTAAACTAGATATTTGTAACTTAGAAAATAATAGCATTTATAATAAATCGCAATACGATCTAATAATATTAATAATACTAATAATACATAGCATAAGAAAACATGTGTATAAAAGTAAAAAAAAAGGGTACTATTCCGTTTTGAGGGCCGTAAAAAAATTGCAGCGAAAATGTATGCGCAAAAGCGCGAAATCTAGCAAACGCGCCCATTTAACAGCGCGCCAGATCTAGCGTACGCGCTGATTTCAGATTGCGTAAGTTTATATAGTTCTATATTTCTTAAGACGCCATTGAAATAATAGTTTAATTTTTAAATCCTTTTTTGATATCGTATGGATTTAACAATTTGGGAATTGCCCTTGACGAAAAGCCTGCAATAGAATTTTGGGTAAAGTGCAGAATCACCCACTGCTTGACTCGTTTTTAAGAATTGCACATACTCGGTATCCATGTACACATCGACCTATTTTCACTCAAAAACAAATTTCCAGAATTGCACAAAAATGGCACTGCTCACACCATTGACTTTATCTATGTACACATCGACCTATTTTTCGCTTAAAAAGTAAAAGAAAATTGACAAAAATGCAATTGTTTTCACCCTTTGTAAAAAGCGGCAAACAAATAAGCAAATAAGTGGGCGATTCTGCACTTTACCGAGAATTTTTCAAAGAAAAGGCATCATTCATTATAGAAAATTATGTTTGAACAACCAACGAGATGATATCATGCTTTAGCAATAACTCGGTAGCGAATGCAGGCATCCATTCAGTTATGTTTAGCAATTTTTATATAAATTATAATAATGATCTGAAGTAGTTATTTACTCTTATGCTTCCATTTAGTCATGTTTTAGCCTTTTTTATATAAATTATAATAATAAAGTATTATATGAAATTAACCTTTCATCTAAATTAAAACATCAATCTTAAATAGTTATTTACTATTATACTTCCTTTCTTGCATTAGGGTTGCCGCAATTATTTTTGGCAGCACTGGCATCAACAATAGTTTGGCAATTTTTTACGGCCCTCAAAACCGAATAGTACCAAAAACGTTTAAAAATTACAATTTAAAAATGTGGTGCATAAATAAAGAAGCAAACTTTTTGTGATATATTCTATAAAACATTGTTCAGAAAAATCAAATTAGGAGTTAATATTCCTCCTCATTACATAAGTATAATAGTATCATCTGCCTTAGTAATGAACTTCCGTTTATTCATTTATAACAGTATGATATTTGAGAATTGTAAAAGATAGATTATTGTTATTGGAACGGACTTTACCAAAGAATTCTAATGTGAATAAAAGTTCCAATGTGATTAGACGTTAACAAATATAGTGATTAATATCTGCTTCTTCATTTACATGACATATTCACTCTTAAGAAATGATTTACGTATTGTGAAAATTTTCCTTGCCATATAATAGCCCGAGTTAAATAAAAATTATGACCATAACAAAGATTTTGAAACTTGTGTTAACATGGATAACTGAATAGGGTAGTATAGCCGATGAAGTTATATTATAACATGGTTTAAACTTTCCTTCCTGTCGTCCCGAAAGTCCTCTCGTTTGGCAATAAGACAAGAGGGCCGAGAAACTATCGGAGCCTCTGGAGTCTTCTCTCTCAAAATTGGGTCAGAACTGAGAAGTTAGTGCCGCGGGACTATAGGACAAATGGTGAAATTCTGGTGCGCCGCACACTTTCACCTATACCTGTGTGTAAATATAATTCATACACAGCACTCAGCCTTGCAGTACCCCCATATGTAACAGGTTATAAATGTTAACTGCTCTCTTTAGATCAAGTGCGAATTATCTTAATGTAAATGTTTCATCATGCGTTTGCACCGCGTGGATCTTGTATGGATACCACTTTAAAATAGATCACAGGACTTTCACAGCGTAGATCAAGGGCAACACAATTACGTGCACAGCTTGGACAGTTATACACACACACCCCATTACACCCACCACATTACCCATTACCACTACCATCCACCACATTACAAGAGCTTTAAAGGTTTATTATTGTAGCATTGTTATCTAAGGAATAAATACCCTGCTGAAAACATACACTGAAAAAGCTAAGGAATAAATATATTTCCTTAACTACATTCCGTATTAATGTATTGTTGCTTGCGTACGGGTTCGTAATAGATTGAATGCACAAGTCCGGTAAAAAAGTTAATAAAATTTATTCTTATCACAAGAAATATAACAAAACGCTGGATTTTTCTACAAAGATATTCGTACACTATCAAAATATAACACAATATCAAGCAGTAGTTATACTTTAAACTACTAAAACGTTAAATAGAACGCAATCCAAAGCGCAGAGAAAGCTAATCCGATCTTAAAATTGCAGCAGCTAAGTAAACAACAATAATTGTTGAGATGTCTCGCTCCGGCTTTTTAATCCGGTCGCGAGAAAGTTTTCGTCATTTCCGTTTTTTCGAGATTTCTGAAAAGCAAAAGAGTAGAGCTACGGTCACAGCTAACACAATACTTAATTACATTTATTCAGTTTAAATATAAATTACGAGATATTTATTTAAATGTTAAATGCGCGTGCTCCTGTATTTTTATATTTCCGGCGCTCTCTTAAAATATATTTCGTGCAGCATCGCACGGGGATATTAAACAATTTTAATGACAGTTCTACTAAAAATAGCTAACTAAATACATATGTACATATATATAACTAAATACTTCTCTATATCGGCACAAACCGTAATTTAAGTTCTGAATCCAAGAAGAATAGGAAACAGCTCTTGCTGAGCTCTTGGCCCAACATCCAAAGGTCATTTGGTAAAAAGTCCCGACGTTGTTTTATCTGAAGCATCGTAAACGACTTTCAGCTTAGTAGTAGTACTTGCTTTCTTCAACACAGCATAATGAATCATATAATACGTAGAATCAATAAAAATCTCTCTCTCGGGCACTCTTTCCATATGCCTCAGCTTAATATATTCCCTTGCGAAATTTTTATATCGTCTATATATCTGAGGACTTTATAAAAGTGAATTCTCTAAAGTCTGAAATCTACGCATAGATAATTGTGTCGAATCTCCAAGCTAAGAAGACGGAGAATGAAACGGTAATTTCACAGTATATATATACCACTTTACTCTCTCGTAAATGTATATTTGAAGTAATCCTCGTATGCTTTCTCCGTGCTGGTAAGCATATCAAATGTAGGTACAGAATCCAATTTCCAATCGTTAGACATCAATCGCTCAGTCTCCACTTGTATATTATTGACACAGATAGTGGGTTTAACCTCTGTTGAATTATTCACACTACCCGAAATAATCTATCTAGTTCAGAACGAGAGACTACTGGTTTACTTTCCTCGCATTTAATAGTACCCCCCTTCAAAAGAGGTAAAGAGATATCTAAGCCTAAATGTATGTCAACAGGCATACTCTTTTAAAATGTTGGATCCGCCAACATTAATTCCTTATATTCCTCAGTGTGCTTCTTATCTAATGTAAAATGCAGCAATGTTCCAATAATTTTATTGATGATAAATACTGGTGTTGTAAATGACACTTTCGCTGGAAAATGCCGGACGAAATTTGTTTGCGCAATTCCATTCGTTCTTGTATCTAACAGCTCTAAACATGAAACATAAACTTTGGCATTTCTTCTCGGTAACCCTAGTCTCTGTATGCATTCTTCTGAAATCGATTTCGCTTGACTGCCAGGATCAAGGAGTGCTCTATATAATTGGAATTCACCAGATGAATCTCACACTTGAATCACAGCCGTGCATAATAAAATTTCACCCTGAAAATGAAAGTCTGGTACACAAGATTTAATTACTGGACTAGAACTCATGAAATTATCCCCGACTTAGCAGATTCAGTACGAGGTTCTGACCCGAGAAAAAATGGCTTAGACGTCACCGATAGTTCATTCGAACTGTTCGTAATTTTTTTGCGCGATTTTTCTCATTTTGAACTCGTTCGAAATGCAGTAAAGTATGATTATTTTTAAAGCACGTTTTAAATTTATCAATACTTCTACACTCGAAAACTTTATGATTTTAAACGAAACTATTAAAACAAACATTGTTTTTCTTGACAAAATTAACACGATCCTAAACATTCAGATTTAAAAACTTATAACATTTCAATACTGAATGACTGGCTTTACAGTACGTACACTGCGCGCGAATCTGCGAAGCCAATGAGG